GGGGGAGGGGGGATGCAATTTACTTTTGGCTAAAAATTCTACTTTTAACTATTTACCCACTTGGGCTTAAACAGAGGGGAAACATGACGTATTCAATAGTAACATTTGTAGGCCGTGATTAAAATTTATAAATAGTAAATACTCTGAACTCCTATACTGCAGATTTCTGAAAAACATTTTTATTTATAGGTAGTTTTTGATGTCTAGAGGCGGCCATAGCCCCTATAACCCTTTTCTAAGCCCCGCGCCTGAAGGAGACACTGGATACCACCCTCGAGATAAAAATAAAATTGATAATAGGTACTTACATGAAATTTGTTCCACAAAATTCTTTTTTGTAAAAAAAAAGCTGTCTATTGAATACTTTACTGATAAATATATTTAATTGTTATTCTAAACGTGATTAAAAAAAAATCTGTTTTATATGACACTGTTAGGTATTAATGTAGGACGTAGGTATTAAATTGATTATTCGAAAATCTATACAGTTTAAGCCACCAGATGAAATTTTTCATCGAGTTCTATAACATCAATTATATCATGGTTATTTTTACTCAGATCAGGCCGGATATGTGTATAATCAATAATCATAGGCGCAAATAGCGTTTAGGATTTGGCAGGGCTAAAGCCTTACTTTGATAATATTGAATAAACTTAAATCAAAATGTAGGAAATGTTTGTGAGGGCTATGGACATTTTTGGGGAGAGGGCTTAGCCCCTAACCCCCCTATTTGCGCATATGTGTGTAATACCAATATACAATTATTTTTATTACTAACCCAGAAAAGCAGACTTTACAAAATTGTAATGATTTTAATATTCAGCAACAAGAGTAGGTACACAACTATCGTCTCTGAATAATAAACTTCAATTTCGCTATAAATTAAATATTTGGATATGATGTTGTCCAACGTTGAAACATGTTAAAATATTGAATTAATCTAATAATACTAAATTGAATATATTGCACAATTTTAATTATTTTGAAATTATTATATTTTATTTTTATCCACTCTTTAGCGGGAATCGAATGGTGTTCACTGTTCATATCCAAATGTTTTAAAAGCCTGGCCTTAATTTTCTGAATACCTTATACTTAAGACATAATACTGTCAATAATATTTTTTTTTTCTGCATGTAAAATTTATTTTGAGATAAATATATTTTACTGTGCCCGTGTTAAATTCAATGATTAATTTGTATAAAATTCAATGATTAAAGGTTTCCTTCCCAGTAAAATAATTTATATAGGCATATTATAATGATTGAGGCTATACAAATACTTAAGCTACTACAATATATTTGTAACTTTATGGTTTATATACAGTTCTTTATCCAATTAAAGTATTAAAACTATATAGTACAGTTCAAATCGTCATAAGCTATAGTAACCTGCAGATATAGGATTTTAGAGTAGTAAAAACGTAAGTATTAACTTGAATTTTAAGTTTATAAGTTATACCTGGCCCGCAACAACAATAATCGAGAAATATTCAAAATAACAAAAATATTAAACTCAATAGTGAAATTTGAATATCCAAAAAGGCGGTCTGATCCCCCTCAATGTCATAATTGCCAAAAATATGGACACACACGTAATTATTGCCATCACTATCCACGCTGCGTAAAATGCGGATCAGAACACTCAACTAACGAATGCACAAAACAACGGGAGGAACCCGCAAAATGTGCAAATTGTGGTGGAAACCACACCGCAAACTACAAAGGATGCCAATCCCTTAAAAAATTACTAAACCGCACCAAACCTAAAGCTAAAAAAATAAATAAAGAACAGCAACCTATTCCAACACTTGCTATACCGCCTATACCACCTCCATCTCGAAGAAGTGGAAATGAAGCCTCCAGTTCAAACTCAAAAGGAAAACCGTCATACGCCGAAATCGCAGCTAACAGACCACCACCCGATCAATCTCTACGCATCATCACCAAATTCCTCGACGAACTAAAATCTATACTCAACCCCCTTCTTACTGTATTAACATCCCTAATAAACAAAATAACACTCCCTATAACCCCTACTCCATAATACACACACACTCACACACACACACACCACATATTCCGTACATCAATAACACAAACACACAGTATATCAATATTATTATATACATAACTTTAAATTAAATTGCTATTGTTATTGTTATTGTTATTTATTTATAACTAACTTGTTAGAGGGTATCCACACTGGTGGGCCTCCCTCCTCATGCCTTTCATGTTGTTGTATTCTTTCATTACCAAATTTACTTATTGTATATAAAAATTACAGATTGTAAATATTCAAAAAAAAAAAAAAAAAAAAAAAAAAAAAGTTATACCTAACATGGCAAGATTAAAATTAAAATGTAATATTACACAACGTGGGTTTAAAAAACAGAAATGCTTGTGTCAATGCAATACTTGTTTTTGTTTATACTAAATGATTACTTATTGATCGATATGTATAAGGTATTTTTTTTATATAATATAAGAAAGACAAGCTTAAAATTAGTTAATAGTGCATAGATACATTTTTAATTTTATATTCGATCTTTTATTATAGTCTCGTTCATAGTCATGTAAATCATAAAATGCCGTTTACCTTTTATATTATTAATAATAATAAATAAATAAATATTCAATAGACTTTTTTTTTTTTTGGGGGGGGGGGGGGTAGTTGTAAACAGTGTTAAATGTTTATGCCTTAGAGGTTCTCACAACAAATTTTGTGTGGCCAGCACTAAAACTGAATTTTACACACTAATATCCAACATTATACACTCTAATAAATAAAATAAAATACTAATACTAAAAAAATATTTAAGATTCTGAATGGAACGATAAATGTATTGATTTTACAATTATGTGTGTGTGTTGTTTTTTTTTTTTTTCATTTTTTTTTGTGTCTGTGTTCACGATAAGTAGTCAAAATAATGCTTCGACTTTCAACTTTAGTATCTTGTTCGATGGAAAGTGAATATTGTTGGTACATTGGGGAGGTCAACATTTAAAATTCCCAATAGTATTCAAAAGCGGGAAAAACAGAAGAAAAATTAAGGAATAACGGGAATTTTTAAGTAAAATTGGTTTTCCACAAAATCGATCTTGGGTTTTCATTGTAATTCTAAAACAAATATATATATATATATAACGTATACATGACATTTTCACTGGTTGTTTATATTTGCATTATCTATACACGAAAAAAATTTCAAAAAATGTTGATATGTTTTGAACTGTTTAAGGACATTTTCAGTTTTCAATTTTATAAGTTTTGTTTTCTATGAATATTAATACAACTTTATTTGTTGAGTAAAAATACTTGAAAATTTAATACAAGGCTCCTACTATATTGTTACAATCGCATTTGAAAAATATTTAAAATCCTTAGTCACAGTTTTTTTTTATAAGCATTTAAACTTCAAATCTTGACAGAATATGGAAAAAACACGAAAATTAGCAAATTATTTTAAGTTAAGAATTCATAAAAATTTTTGTTTTTAAATCTAAGATTTTAAAAATATGTAATACAAGATTCCTTATAAGATTATCTACTTTTATCAAAAAAAAAAAAAATGTCTATAAGAAAGTCAAATTAAATTTTTATGAACATTTGATATTCAAATTTTTACAACATTTTTTTAAACACTCAATTTCTCATGTAGCAATTTTCTTATTTTGTTGTAATTCAAAAACGAATAACTGTATATATGTACATGAACATTTTACTGAATGTTTATTTTATCAATTATACTTGATAAAATTTTCAAAATATTTTGACTTGTTCTGATCTGTTTATGGACAATTTCATATTTCAATTTTTTTAATTTTTTTTTTCTATGAATATCATTAAAGATTTATTTGTTGTGCCAAAAACTGTAAAAATTTAACATAAGGCTTCGGATATATTGTTAAAACAGTCCTTTACAAAATCCTAGTGGGGGCTGCTGCATGCCTGCATTAGAGTATGAATTCTGCGTAGTATCGTTAAGAATGTATTAAAAATATAAAATGTAGAAATGCAAATAGGTATATAATTATAGGTATATGTACAAAGAATAGTCGACTGATGAGTGTTAATAAATTGAAGTCTACAAAATGACTAAAAAATAATACATTCGTGAAGGAACTATTTGCAAAGATAAAATATTTGTTGTGACGCCGAAAAAAAAAAAAAAATAAAGCAGATAAAAAGTCAGCCGAGTCGGTTGGGATGTGTTTAAAAATTGTTTAAAAAAATACTTAAATGACTAGCTCGGCGAGCTATCAAACTATAGTTTTATATAAGTATTACGTACCTACTTAATTATTGATAGAGATGAAAATAATATTACATTTTTACACAATAGAAAATAAATAGAAAATAATATTTGTAAGCCAGTAAATTTATAAGAACAATAAGAACATATTATCTACCTACGTGATACTCGCATATTACTATAGATATGGAACTTGTGTTCCTTATATAAGAGGACTCCACATCCGCATTATACTGTGTCGTATCTGTCTTACGTACCTACAACATGGCAAATTGTACTTTCACAATATTTCATTTTACTCTGTTATTTTTAAAATTAGAGTGAATTAAATAATTTTAAGGTAAGATTTTATCATATTCATTATCTATGCCATCTCGGAGGCTTGTATTTCTATTGCTATTGTATTGCAAAGCAAGTAATGAGTATTTTAAAACTGAACATTTTTAAGTGATCATATTATAATAATTAATAGTCATAACTTGCCTTAAAATTAAAATATCTATAAAATACTCCTATAGATAATATTATAATAATCTCACTTTTAATTGTAAGCTACTACCAAAAATATAGGTTAAATTTGTTTGTACACCGAAGTTGTGCTGTTCATGATAAGTAGGTATACCTAAGGAGCTTTATTATCAACATAGCATCCACCATCAAAAAATCCTAGTTCCGTCACTGGTATGACGTCATCTTAAGTTACGCAAAAAGTAGATATTATATAGGTAAGCATATACTTAGTGTATGATTCTCGATTTTTGCAGAAACGATGAACAGCAATGTTTGCGGGGAAACCGAAGAGCAAGCGTGATGCCTATCAACGGCAACGCGTTGGCCAAGTACTTGGTCATGGTGTCGCAAGTGATCGCTTGGTGCACGGTTAGCGCGATGCTGTTGCGGAGGGGCCTGAACCAGGTGAACGGTAGCTCGCAGCAACAGCCGTCGTCATCGTACGGCAGCAAACCGTACGGCGGTTCGGTCGCAGCGTTCGGCGACAGCAACGCGACATCGACCGCAGCCACGGACACCGGCCACCATCCGCAAGAGACGCCGGAAAAGTCTTTCGACGAAAACGGTTCGCCTGCCGTGGTGGCCGGCGTAGTGATGATCGCGATCGCGGTGATCATGTTGATCATCAGTCCCACGATCATGGTGATGAAAATGATCGAGAAACGCAAGAAGAGGATCCTGGAGACGGTGAGCATAGCGCGTTGAAACGAAAAACAAACCTAAAACCTTATTATATAGGTGTTCAGCAGGTTATATTATTATTTTGTTGGTTTGTCACCTACGTATATAATAGTTTTGAGCGATGTATTTTTATCGGTTCTTCTTCCCTACAAAAGGGCCATCTCAGTATCATTGTAGGAAATCATTGAACGCGTTAATTAATGATATTATTACTACAACATTAACATGAAATGTATTTGTTTGCAAATATACATGATATAATAGATATGGTCATACAGAGTACAGAGTAAACGCAACTTAAGCATACACAAAAAAAATGGGTACCTAAGTGGATGCCACTCTGCTGTACAGTAGGTTACATGTGGGTCATTGTATAATGGATGATATTCAATTTAAATTCAATGATATAATATCATTGCACACGAAAAATGATTCTGAGCAGAGACGGTCAGTTTAGGTTATTGACAGTGTGGATATTTTATATTACATTTATATTGTTATTACTTATTATTAATACGATAGTCGGTAAGTTGAATTAATATTATAAAATTACAACAAAATAACTAAAACCGTTATTCTTGGTTATTTAATATGTAATTTCATCCGAATTTGAACAGAAAATAACTATAAAAAAAGTTGCTGTTCTGTACAGTAGGTTACAAGTGGGTTACTGTATAATGGATGGTATTAAATTTGAATTCAATGATATAATATCATTGTATAAGAAAAACGATTCTGAGCCATATCTATGAAATTAAAAAAAATTTACCTATAATAGGTACCTATATAATAAATTCCAAATTAATCATATCACAATATCCATTAGGTAGTTATAATGCGTTATACATCAACAGCAAACCCTGATACTACCATAGATATATAATACTGTCCTTTAGAAGTTTCAAGTACCCACGATTAATATTATACAATCACAATAAAATAACTAAAATAGTTATTCTAGGTTTTTTAATATGTAATAATTTCGTCCGTAAAATATGTAAATTTGAACTTAACATGACTATAAAAATAAACTGAGCTTATATATTTTTTAGATTTTTTGGTAACAAAATAAACTACTTACGCGAAATCTTGTTTTAAATTTTCAATTTTTAGATATAAAAGTTGAACATTTTATAAATTTTTAACTACAAAATAATTTTTCAATTTTAAATTTGATACCTTTTGTCAAAATTCGATCTTTAAATGCTTATAAAAAAAAATTGTGCCTATGTATTTTTAATATTTTTCAACTGATATTGTAACAATATATCAGGAGCTTTGTATTATATTTTTACACTTTTTGGCCCAACAGATAAAACTTTATTGATATTTATAGAATAAAAAACTAAAAAAATTGGAAACTGAAAATATCCGTAAACAACTAAAAAAGAGTCAAAATATTTTCAAAATTGTATGGTGTATAGGAAATGCTAATATAAACATTCAATGAAATTTTCATGTATCTACAGTTATTCGTTTTTGAAGTTCAACAAAATAAGGAAATTACTACATGAGAAATCGAGTGAATATCCAATGTTGTAAAAATTTGAATTTCAAACGCTCATAAAAATTTAATTTGACTTTCTTATAGACATTTTTTTTGTTGATAAAGGTAGATAATCTTAAAAGGAATATTTTATTATATTTTAAAACGTTAGATTTAAAAAGAAAATTTTTACGAATTCTGAACTCAAAGTAATTTGCTAATTTTCGTGATTTTTCCATATTTCGTCAATTTTTTAACTTTAAATGCTTATAAAAAAAAACTGTGACTAAGGATTTTTAATATTTTTCAAATGCCATTGTAACAATATAGTAGGAGCCTTCTATTAAATTTTCAAGCTTTCGCAACCAACAAATACAATTTTATTGATATTTTTAGAAAAAAAACTAAAAAAAAATGGAAAATGAAAATGTTTTTCTCGAAAACAGATTTTGAGTAAAAATTCCCGTTATTCCTTAATTTTTATGTGTTTAATCCCGGCGCTTGTGAAAACTTTTGGGAATTTTAAAATTTGACCTCCCGAATGCACCAACTAGATTCACTTTCCAATCGAACAAGATACTGAAGTTGAAAATCGAAGCATTATTTCCACTATACTTATCGTGTACACAGACACAAAAAAAAAAACACACATCATTGTTAAATCAATACATTCATGATTCATCGTTCCACTCAGAATCTAAAATATTAATGGGTGGCTACTTCAATCATACCTTTCATGTCATATACTTCTCTCATCGTCTCTCATCATATAAACTTATGGTGCTAATTTGTATTTGATTGTTTGTAAAAAAAAAAATTGTATATCTAATCAAGTTTTACTCGAATTAAATCATTCGAAAACCATAACCTATAAGTTATAACTTATAATGTATACTTCAATTATTAGTCTTTAATATAAGTACTTATATAATAAATAATAATGTAACATATTATAGGTAATTATTAGTGTTACCTATATTGTATTAAAATATATTTGTGGTAATATTTTAAGTTTTGAAGTCCAATCAATATATTATTTTAATATATTTTCCATATCGCTATTATAGCTTATAAGCACCCATAGCTACTACCACCCGGCTTCTTCCACAAATTCTAACTAAACGCGATCAGATGCCCCCCATTGTCTATAGCAGGGGTCACCAACCAGTCGATCGCGATCTAGAAATATAGGTCGATCGTTATAAAAATTAATTTTACCATTATCGGTCGATCGTTTTGTATTCTAGGAGTTTACCATTATCGGTCAATCGTTATAGTCAGAATTTTTTTTTTTCATTTGAAAACAAAAGCCTCGGCGACTAAGGGCCATTGATTACAATAAATAGGTAGTCAGAATTATTGTAAGTTATAATTCGACTGTCAATTAGTCGTCACGTGGAAGTGTGCAAAGCGTATATATGTTCCGTATATTTTCGTTATTACGTTCCAAATTTATTTAGAATTTAAAACAAATAAAATAACCTTTTTTTTTTTTGCTTATAAAACAAATCTCTTCCTAAAGACCTAAATTCTCCTGGATGTCGATCACCTGGGACTAAAAATTTCAAATGTAGCTCACTTGTTTGAAAAGGTTGGCGACCCCTGGTCTATAGAGTAATTTGATATTCGGCGCACTCTACACTTAGATAGGTCAAGTCATTATTAGGGACCAAAAGTACAGCTCTAATCGCTTTCCAGCGCTATAGTGTATTACCATTGATTAAGTATAACTATTAAGTATACTGCTTTGGTATTTTTATTATAATCAATGATATTACGCTCCAACGGTAATAATTATTGTAATTGAAACGCATTTGTTTTGTTTATTGTATATCGTCAAGACGTTAACAGAGCAATTGCAATTTCCGAACAATTAATCATGCACCGAAACAACCACGATGCTTTTTTCATATCGATGGTAGGTAATTTATTTACCCCGGTGTACACAACTAGTTTTTTTTATTACATTAATATGGTAATTTATATTTTATTATATATTATTATAATGTTTAAAAAAAAACTTGATATAATTCTTATTATTTACTCTGATAATAAAACGCCTTGAAAATAATAATTATTTAACGCACCCGAGACTGCCAGACGAGATGAATTTTTAAATAATTATTATAGATTATATATTTTTTTACGTCTAACGACAAGTACCACCTGCCTACATTACCTATAATACTCAGCGAGTATTCAGAATTAAATCATCAATTGGATGTATTAAAATTTAAAATATGTAATATTATATAATATTGAAATGCTTTAAAAACAGATTAAAATAATATATAGATCTTATGATCAGTCACGAATTGGAACAGTGTCTCGGTGGCATACCTACCAGAAGTATTTAAAAGTAATTGAACATTTTATAATTTTGTCAAAGTAGGGTTCGAATATTATAGAAGGCTGAATATCCACAAGGAATTTTAGATTTCACAATATTATGAATATAATATTATGAGTTAAATGTGAACAGTTTTAACAATTTTAATGATTCAATCTTGATCTGCTTAATATATATTTATTGTATTTATATTTGAGCTGAAAATTCTAGAATTCTGTTAACTAATTATTATGGAGAAGTTTTAAATTCCTTAAAATGATTCAGAAAGTCAGAATTATTAAACTATCTTCGAGAACAAGATGATTACGTCGACATTCCGTTGAGTTAAATATATTGACAGTGTTAAATTATATTTATGTACAATATTATAATTAAATTTTTCCCAAATATCGCTACTATAGTTTTAAATTTAACAATAATTTAATCCGTTAAAAATTATTACACTAGTTAGATAGTGAACAAAATTAAAATTCTAAAGAGTGTTTAAAATATTTACCAGAATCGTACTGAATAGAATAGAATAAAAACGAATATAAAGTCCCTAAAATATTTATTTTATAATTTGTTATTTTAATACTACTTACTTAAATAATAAATACATTTGTCTACCTAATATATATACGTAATATATTCGACATAGATACACGTTTTGTACACACAATATACTATACACTAATGCATATTGCTTATATCTTATACGAAACTTAACTCTGGGATTTAAAATTAATTGTAATAAAGGTTAGTATTTTTACATCGATAAATAATAATTAACATTCACATACCTATACAATTTTTTTAAACTGTTTGTTTATTGTCAGTTGTTGCCAACTGTTGTTGATGATGTCATTGAACTAACAATAAGGGACCTATATATTATAGGAAAATAATACATTGTTTCTCTTCTGAAATAATAACAATACTATGAATAATTTCTTTTAATGAATATTCATACCTGGAACAATTCACATAAAAATATTGACAAATTTTCAATAGGGATAAGATAATACTACTACAGCCTACTTCATTGTATATTATATAACTTGCCACGGCGACAGCTCGGCGTTATGTTAAATGTGGGTATATGTATTATGTTTATGTACCTACCTAAGCTACCTAACCTACTTTTCAAAGTGTGTGTCTGTGTTTTTCCAATACGTGTGAATTTAATTAACTAACGATACCTATGTTTTTTTTGTATAGGAATTAGAATCTCCGCCTAAGTACGAAGATGTGGTAGAAAGCGCCCCGAGATATTCATCGTTGTTTGTATTTAATAACGATGGCGAAATGGCATTGGTGACTGAAAATATACTACACAAAGAAAAAAATAATATTCAAAATCAACTAGTTTGAAATAACTAATTTCAAGAATTAAATTTATATTATTATATAATCTACTTCAAACTTCCTACACTGCCTCTACATCGGTTGGCCTTAAGCTACCGAGAGTTATCCAAAAAATATTTATTCGTGGCATGATTTATTGTATAAACCTTAAGTTATAAGTTAAAACCAATACATTGAGGAATATTTTTAAATATAATGATATAATAGAAATGCATATAAAATAACAATAATGTTTACAACTATACCTATGTTTTTTTTTTGTATTTTTATTTTTTATACATGATATTTGACATTTTATCACAACTTGTAATATTTCAGATTATATTTCTAAATTGAATATATTTTAAAACAAAAATAACCCACATTTAAAATTATATTTTTTTTACAAAGTTCTTTAAATACGTGTACGGAACAAAATTAATGAGCTGATTATATCTATATAAATATTTTTATTTATAACAATAAAATTCAAACTTACAAACAATAATAATATTATAATACATATACAGTAGGTACTTACTATTTACTAATAAGTAGAGGTTAGGGGAGGTACCTATCGCATTATGTGTTGTATAATATTATTTGTCGATTAATACAAAAATACTTATAACAATTTATAATCAGTCAATAAGCAAAAAACATTAAACAAATAGGTACCAACTAAAAATTTAATATAGTACGGTTGCACATTAATCTTACATTTACATACAATATATACTTTAATATAAGGTACACTAGACATGTTTATTCTCAAAATATAGAAAAACGGGAGGTCTGTTTTCCCGATAGGTACTATTCTTACTATTTCTTCCTCCACCAACTATTACCAAGACAAGAATAAGTTAGCGGATCCAAAGGTTGTTCGAGAGGGAGGTTTCAAAAAATATTTATAAGATACTATCAGATTTGTACTATCTATGTGAAATTTTCTATTACTAGCAAATTATTCTATAATAATATTGGAACAATATAAACAATTATATGATATTATTAGAATTAGGTACGTTAAAAATCAGGGTCTAAGCGGTGGTGGAGCGATCACCATATCGCCTTCCCACGTATCAACCACTGACCGGATCAATGGAAATACAATTAGGCCAACAATTTAAAACAATATAAATTAAATATTTTAATTATAAAATAATATTTGAATAAATTAAAATACTATTAACTATTAAGTTATTAACTATAATAATAATTTGTTTTCGTCATATTATGCATTTCATTCATCTTGCATCATTTATTTTATGATTTATTTTGCCACAATATAATGCTATAGGAAAAATAAGCTAAATGTCATTATTGGAGTGAAATAACTGTGTAATAATAAGTGTAATAATAAAATGCATCATAAAAAAATATACTGCAAATATGCGAATTCAATACATTTTTTTTATTTACAAAGCTTCAAATTGTATAACATATAATTATTTGTCTAACACGTCACACTTTCAGAACATATTAACATTTAAATAAATATGCAAATATTTTTAAAACTGATGAATCCTGAATGGGTCATGTGGGCTTTTGATGTAAATGTATTTATGAACTTAATAGCCTTATATTAATCTTAATCTAAATCTGTCTGTAATATTGATACCATAATAAATTAATGTATACATCACTAATGATGGATGTATTAATATTTTTATTTTAATTCAATTATAATTTATTAAATATAATGAAAAACGATTCAGAGCCAAGGCAGCCTACATGTCTAAAAATAATTCGCGATTTTGACGAATTTCTATGTGTTACTATTTAGTATTTACTCTGTTTTTAATATTTTTCATTTGCTGTAAGAAAAAAAAACATTAAGTAGGTAGGTACTCTTCTTATTTCATCAAAAGACAGCATTTTGTTGGTTAGGTATATTCAGTTTATATTAATTCAATCCTTGGAACTTACTAGACGCTTCCTTATTTAAGTAATTATTTTAGGAACAACCCGAAAAGTACTTAATTAATTAAAACGGTTTCGCTAAAAATGATTTGAGTTGATGTTACGGACTCATACAGATTTCACCAAACTATAGATTCTTAAATATTATGATGTTTTGTTTCATAATACAAATTAGAATAATATAAATCTAATCTTAAACCACATTTCCAAATACAATTACAATCATTCCAAATCCAAGTACATTAATGATTAATCTCTAGTTCAAAATATCACAGTTTACAATATATACGTATACTTATAATTGTTTATTCCAAATTTAATCCTATTGCGTACGATAGTAAAACACGACGTATTTATTTAAACATTTTAAAATAATACGTATAAACGTATTATTGTATGGTGTAGCAACCGACCGGTTTTTTTGATTTTTTAATAAGATATACAAAATATAATACTACTCTTTATTTTTATAAATGCCAAGTTAATTACATTTAAATTAAATACTGCGTAGTAGAGCACTAGTGCACTAGTGCGTATTATATAATATATAAATCGTTTGTATATTTTTATATAAATCATCTAAATTCATGGACACATACTTAGAATCTAGATGTTGGAAGTGGATGTGTTTACATATAATATTATTAGTAGTATCTAGATTCTAGAATACGATTATAGATACATAAAAAAGTAAAAAATCCTCATTATTTAAAAATCAAACTGAACATATTAAACCAAGTTAAAGTATTTTAATCATAAAATGTCATGTACAATCAAAAATAAAATTCTAAATGCAAACTGGATAATAAATTAATGGCATTGGCCATTGCCTATACTGGTTATTGATTAGTACTTACTGGTTTTGAATGTCTATCCTATATTCCTATATAATCATGCAAGAATTTAGTAAAAAAAACCAGTGAACTCACATTAGCTGTATGGTAGGTTTCGAATTTATTTAGTTAATGAGGAAGTCACTGTGATGGATGTATTAATATTTTGAATTCAATGATAAATAATTTTATACGAAAAAACAATTTTGGACGGGTCGAGCAGCATATATTTTTAATGAGTTAATGAAACAAAAAGTTTAGGATGTGTACTGTCGATTGTTGATATTTTTAATTTAAGAATGAACAACTGAAGTGAGTTATGAGGTTAACTTTCTATTACATTTTCAAACCTATAAGCATTCAAATTGAACATTGAGTATAGGTATTATAGGTACATTCTTCACCTCAAATTTTTTTGCAAATGTTCGTGATTTCAAAGAGTTTGGTAAACATTTGAACTTAAGATTCTTAAAAAAATGTTTAAAAAATAATGAGGAACCTTGCATTAAATTTTAAAGCTTTTGAGTTTTGGGCTAAAAATAAAATATTATCTACATAGAACAAAAAAAAAACTAAAAATTTTAAAATTTCTATAAATAGATCAATAAAATTCAAAATATTTTGAAAATTATACTTTGTATATACAATGTCAATGGTCATCATGAATGTTTAATATAAATTTCAAGTCCCTACAATTTATCATTTCTGAAGAAGGTACCTAGTCTAAGAATGTACCTAGTCTCTACCTACTACAAAAAAATCAAATACTTTTTCTCAAAAACTGATGTTGTGAACCAAAATATATTCCCGTTTTACCGATGTTTTTTCCAATATTTTTAGGAAAAGAAATGTAATTTTCGCACTTTTGACTCTATAAAGTACCAAGAATGTGAAATTTACTACTAGAAATTACACTAAACGTTTTTAAAGAATAAAGCAAATTGCCTGTTCAAAATTGTAAAACCAAGATACTCCTCCTTCAGCTCTGATTCTAAAATATTACACAAATATTCTATATGACTATATGTAAGTACCTATAAATATTCTGGTACAGTTCTCTACAAAAACAAAATAGTTATACTAAAATATATAATTCAAATTACATGTATACCTATAACCTATACCTCAATCTCATTAACTATAGATAAACGTAATGAATTTATTTGGAGAGGCTATAGTTATGTTAATAAATTATAATTATAACAAAATATGTCATGAAACTTGTTATGATAACTGTGGTTTTTATTTTACACTATAATATACTCGATCAATGATAATATAATATATAGGTATATTCATAAACGATAATTATAACATATTAGTTATTAAAATATTACCATAGTTAGAATGACATTAAACTATTGTGATACTGATAACTAACGTTTTTATTTAACAACAAGGTCATTGTTATCTTACAGGAATTATATCCATAAGTACCTATATAGATGATTTTAATTATCATTTGAATATTTGATGTGTCTAGTGTCTACGGCTTTACAATCTTTGATAAAAGCAGCTGGCTAGTCGGCTAGACTATTTTTAATTATTATAGATAGGTACGACTGTTCTCTCATGGAAAAAAATGGAAAACATTGAATGAAATTCTTGACTTAGATAAGTAAAATGAATGTTTTTAATATAGGTACTAGGTATTATGATAATAGGCAATTGCAGTTGCTCGCCTGTAGTTTCATTAAATTGTAATTGCAATATTCAAATAAATAGAATGTACCAGGTACAATGAGGTACCTACATATTAATATATTATACAAGATTTTTCTTCTACTCATTTTTAAGATTATTATAATTATTACCTATTATTATTGTTATTATTATACTTAAATTATTAGAAGTAAGCATATGTATTTGTGTTGAGATCTTTGATGCTTATTTTTGTACCTACTATAATGAGGTCATGATCATGCAGGGTCTTAAGAATTCTTGTATCATAGTTTAGATTTTTTTAGCCGGTCAGTTCCATCATCTTTAAAATATTAAACTTCTCGAATAAATTACAACAAATACCGTTTTAATTGCTTTACAGAAATGTAAATATGTAGGTATAATAATAGATTGTTGCAATTAATTACTTTTAAACGAACAAAATAGACTTAACCATTTTGAAATACCTTTAGGTATATTTCCAACGATTATCAATTAAGTTATTAACAACTAACAAAACACTACCATATTATTACTTAAAAATGTACTGCTGGTTTAATAATGAAGGTACCTACGTATATTTATAGCCGGTTTTTAAGTTTATAATTT